GAATCTCATTATCCCAGCGAAATCCATGCCTTGGATGTAGGGTCAGAAAATACATAGCATTGTTGTTTGGTGCATATGCGCCATTTGCAGCACTGCAAGGCCCTATGTTGGCCAGATTTCAATCAAAATTCCTTCGATCTACTTGATTCACCTCCGCCATATAATATCTTTGGTCAACTTCAATGTTTTCTATAATTCCATCTTATCTCTAGATTGCCACACGTTGGTGCATTGAGGAGGGAATGCCACCTATTCCATGAATCCACTCACGACCCAAAAGTAAGTTGTAATTTGTCTTGGCCGCTATGACCATGAACATAGTTGTCCTTGTAATGGTTCCTACAGTGAGATCAACTTGAACTACTCCGAGAGTATGACCAATCTTCCCTTCGTAGTTAGATAATACCATATTATGGGGTTTTATATATGTATAATACATACCTATCCTTTTCAACAAGAACTGAGGCATTAGGTTGACAGCAACACCCTCGTCTATCATCACTTTGTTGATCCCTACTTGTTCAATCTTTCCTCTAATAAATAAAGGCTTCAGTTTATTCTTCATACCTTGGTTTGGTCTTTCAAAAAACGTGCTTTGTTCTTCGACTGTTCTGTTATTCATAACATAATAGCACATAGGCTTGTGCTTCGCCATTTCTAATTCATCTGCTTCTTCAGAATCTTCTATCTCCGTCACTTGGTCATATTCATGTGGTAGTACAGAAACTACATTGCAGTTGATATTCAAAGAGGACTCCGCATCTGAGTTGAAGTTGTCAGTAAGTATGTCCTCATCATTAGTTGGTTCTTTGTTAGTTGGCTCCCTTATAGTCCTTTCGACGGACACCTCTGTCTTCTTGGGGGAAAAAGCCTCCTTTATGCTGGGTACTTCTTTTTTCCAGGTGCAGTAGACGAAGTTTGATTTGTACTTGATTCCCATACTTTGTTGCTTGTGATTTCTCTTTGAGCCTTCTTGGTCCTCTGGTTACTTCGCCATTGGGACCTTGTCATTGGATTTTTTTCCTTTATAGTTCTCAGACACATAGGCTTGTTGCTTCGTTGACTAGAACTGCCTTCGATATGCCCATGCTGATCTGCCACCTTCCTCGAAACTTTTCCTTTTCCCTTTGCCTTTTCCTCCCCCTTGCTTTGGCTAGACTTCAACCATTTGTTTGTTGGGATGTTGGCAGGTGGCTTGAAGATGACTTGTCGATTCACTTTGGGGTGTGGGCTATCTTCCCTTTTCGGAATTCTCTTTGCATTGGTTACATACCTCCCCCTGCTATTCTTTTTATTATTCCAGCATTAAGCATACAGTATTCTCTCAAATGCTCCAGCTTCCTTTCTATCACAAACAGTGCTACACCATGGGCACATTATGACTTCTGATCCTGTCTTATGACAACAAACTAGAAAACCCATCAAGCTTTCTCCCATTTTTGGGTATGGCACCAACTCTTTATCACTCCTCCAGTTGTTTCTAGCCCTCTCTTGGTACAATTTCTGGTATGTTACCGCAATTCCTCGATCATTCATTATGCTGCACTTAGGGCACACTAGTCCCTCAGGATTCTTCGTATGGAAATGAAAAAGATACTCGACCAGGCTTAATTTTTAGTCCCCAGTTCACATCTTATCATTATCCATCTTCAAACATCTTTCGATCTCCGTCGTTTCCAGGGAAAATTGGTCCAGATCCACCATGTTTACTTCGAACTTGGGACCTTCAGCAATCTCAAGCTCTTCGAATCTGACTCTAAGACCCTCAATAGTCTTAGCCTTGCCACCAATTTTGGCATTGTCATTAGCAGCATTGCTTTCTTCCTGGCCCATGAGACCCTCAGCAGTCTTAACCTCGCTAGGAACTTTGGCATTGCCATCAGCAGCATTGCCTTTTTCCTGGCCCATGACACCCTCAACAGTCTTTAGCCCCTAATTATCTTCAGATACATTGTCTACATCGAGTTGACCTCCTTCAATTTCGACAGCTTCAACCATGTTGATATCTTTAGGCTCCGCAAAGTTTATCTCAATAATCTGAAGAGGATCTATGTCGACCTTCATCAGGTTCTTGGGCTTCTCTCTAAACTTTATCCTTCCTTCCTTGATTGCACTCTGTATCAAATCCCTGAAAAGATAGCATTGTGAGGTTTTATGGCCTAAGAAATTATGATACTTACAAAAGCCAATTTTCTTCCGTTGTTCTAACAGAGGAATTTTAGCACCAGGGGGCACTATCATCTGGCCATATTTTACTAACAAATAAAAGATTTCATCACACTTGGTAATGTCGAAAGTATAGGTTTTCTTTGGGAATTTATCATTCCTTTCTGGTTCGACGGGATTTTTCCCGTTCGTAGGCGTTAACACTTTGCAAGGATATGGTGGTCCTTGCTTTAACTCTGCAAGATCTATCTGATGTTCTTCAACCTCTAAAAAATCATCTTCGTCATCTCTTTCGTCAGACAAGCTTTGATATAAGCCACTCTTTATTTTCTGTGGCTTTTGTTAGCCCTTGCTTTTTTCGATCTTCAAACGCTCCACCTGTCGAACCCTGTCATCCAGTTGTGTCATTTCTCTCAGATATTGGGGATCTAACTTCTTCCTTATAGAGAAGTCCAATCCTCTTGTTGCCATTTCGACCAACTCGTATTCAGGCACTTGTGTGAAACATCTTGCTTTCAACACACGTAACCTGTTAAGATAATCATCTATAGGCTCACTGAATTTGCACTTAACATTTGCCAATCCACTCAGGCTGATTATGGTTTGACCTACATAAAATTGTTCATGAAATAATCTCTCTAAGTGAGTCCAATCATGGATGGAGTTTGTTGCAAGAGTAGTAAACCAAGTAAAATCATTTTTGGTTACTGAACTAGAGAAATACTTAATCCTTAGATTCTCATTGTTTTCTATACCTCTGCTTCTGTAACGTATCTGGCAATATGTTCTATGGTTGACTCACTGGTGTCACCAGAAAACTTTGTGAATTTTGGCACTTTCCATCCCCTAGGTAACACAATTTGCTGAATGTAGTTAGACAAATGGGATGTATAATTCGGCCTTCGCATGCCAATATTTACTCCACTTTGTGCCATGATTCTTTCGACTATGGCTGCTAGATTATTATTTCCTACCATATCATCATGTCGACATCCTTGGAGAACTTCGTCAGCATCTTGGTTTCGATTCACCATGACTACCCTTCTTCGTGGTTCCTCCCTGGGAGTAGCCTGTTGAAATCTGGGTGGTTCTTCCCTTCGAACTGGTTATTGAATTTCGACTTCTGGGTATATCGCTGGTTGGGCCTGGTCAATGGTTAGTTCTTCTTACAACACGATGCCTTGATTCTTCCTTATCCATGTAAGTTGTGGTTGTCGAGTTGATTCTCTGGGTGCACCAAAGAAATCTGCAAGGCGCCCAATTTGTGCAGCCATTTGTTGGTTTGCTTAGGCATTCTGCAAGTTCGTCTGTGTGGTACTTTGGATTAAAGGGTTAAAATTATACTCATTTGATGGGCGAGTACTCCCACCATTTCATGTTTACTATCATCCATATGTTGCCTCAAGATTGCCTGCATACTTGTGGTAATAGGAGACAATTGAGCAACATATCTTGGCTGCGAATTATTTCGTGCCATATGGTTTACCCCTGAACCTGATCCTTGTAATGGCGAAAAGGCAAATGTTAAAGGACGTGTATATGTCGAAGTGTTATTTTGCAGTCCTGCCATGAACAAAGTTGGCATGCCATATATTGGATCTGATGTTAGGATTGTGAAGCCTGATGCATATGTTCTAGAGACACCGTTTACTGAAGGTCTGGGGGTTATGGATGGATTTTGACTGGCTACAGACATTATAAAAGGTTCATTTTGTGTGTTTCATAATATGGCTGAAGCGTTTGTATTTGGGGGTATGACTGTAGCATTTGTAGTCAAGGGGATAATCACAGTCCCTTGATTTGTTGCCATGGCTTCGATTGTATTCGAAGCACTCGTATTCCCTGCTGTGGAAGGAGGAACTTATTGTGCACTACTAACGGGTGGGTTAGCTATTTTTCTGTTGTATTTCCTTTTTGGTCTAGTATATGTGGTATTGGCTAATTTTCCACTTCTTAATATCATGCAACAAACAAGTTAGGAAACATAGATTATCGAAAAGAAAAAGAACTAAATATTAGACACAGAGTCCCACTGGGCGTGCCAATTTGTTTACCCTGAAATTTGGTAAACAACCACTGATCCTCTAAATCTTTTAACAGATTCGGTTACTCACGAGATCGATCAGATTGATCTCAGGACTATGTGTTCTATTATTTAGAAAGTATGTTTTGATGATAATCTCTTTAAACAAAAGGAATCACTTTGTATGTCGAAGTGAAACTTCTTTATGAAATTAATGAAATATAAACTAGTCTAGACTGAAAATTGTAAAGAACGTAAAAAAATTTCATTGAATATAAATGACATTGAATACAAAATATGGTGCATCATACGTACATTCTCATTAACTCTTTTCTCGAACACTAGTACTTTGAGTATTTTGAGTATTTTGTACAAAGATGTGAACACACCAAATTGAAACACAAAAGCTACAATTTATAGAACTTAGACCCTAACGGTCTTCTAACAAACTAATGCCACGTTTCCGTTGGAATGTCTTCGACAATCCTAAAGATTTCACGCGTCCTTCTGGATAAGATTGAACATTCAAATTCAAAAACTCTTCGCTTATCTTTCTTGAGCGTCAAAACTTGATAACAGTTGAAGTATAACGTTTTAAACCTTATCTCGAATAACACCTTATTTCGCAATTCGAATTTATAAATTATCCACCAATTTCGAATTCGAATCTTCATGGTTTTGAACAAACCAAATAGCCAAACAATTCTCTAGGTATATTCAGACCATTGAATCAGCTCAATTTCTCCTTAGTCGAAATTTTCAACCAACAACACCATCAACAAGAATCCTAAAATCTTGCTTTGGTGAAAATTCACGCACAAGCCAAAAACCATCTCGAAACCATGCAATACCGCCTTGATGAACTATAGATTATTCCACAAAGCCTCTCCAACAATGACCATGTCATCAGAGAATTGAAGTAAGTCGAACTAAATAGTTTTAGAGGTTTTAAAAAGCTGTAACTCCCTTGACCTAGGGATCGTGCTTCTTCACAAACAAGGCCAAAAAAAGAAGTCGTCATGGCCTTTGGAAAATGAGCATTAAAGAAGAATTTGTTCACAAAGTCAGACAAATCCTCTTTGATAATCTCCAAGCAAGTTTTAAAAAACCCAATTGTATAATTGATAAAAATTAAATAGGCCAGAATCAAGTATAATTGATAGATCATGGGATTAATTTTTCAAGCAAGGAGAGGTTAGAAAATGATTAAGTATGAGAATAAGAATGGTCTACAAAATAATACATTATCTATTTCAAATTTTGTATTATTTCAACAATTGAAATATATGTCCCAGATACTCCCATCACTATAGCTACTAATACTATCATCACTATTGTCACTGTCTCAAACCCTAATTTCCTATAATTGCCAGAAATCTTCAAGTAACATAAACAAGGAAGCAAAATACAAGCAGTGGCACTTAGAAATGCTCCAACCAATGACATGAGAGACCCAAAATAAGGAATACTCAATGCAACAATAACATTGCTAACTACAAGCAAAGTGCTCACAAAAATATTGGTCACTCTATTATTCTTGTATGTTCTTCCAACTAATTCTTTCAAAGCATTTGTAATTGGTGTTGCCATCAAAGCAAACTTTGCTATTGGATTCACCAAGGTTGTGTATATTGCAATTTTTGAACTTAATTTGTTAAGTGGTAAGTTTAATGTTACTTGTGATTCAACATTTGAACCAAACATTAAGTAACCAATTATAGCCATTGATGCATAACTAGCTGTGGTTAGTATAAAGCATACAATTAGGACCTGCAATATTAAATGGAACACACTTTAATAAGTACTTAAAGTAACAGAATACTTAAATTAATATATTAAAAAAGTAAAGCAAAAGCACTTACATTTGAGAACTGGTGTTTGTTCTTCATGGAATTGTAGAGAGTAGGGAAGACTGGATGTGCACAATAGCAAAAAGCATACAAGCTAACAGCAGTAGGGATTCCATTCCAATTCACAATATCACCCTTTTGATGAAAACCAACTCCATCAAATGTTGCAGTCCATGATATTGACAGTATAATAATAACAGAAGCAAAGACACCACTTGCAGACACATAAGAAATCAAACTCAAATTATCCAAACAAACCGTTGGCAAAATAATTAGCGCAACCAATATCACAAAGAATTGCTTTGCACCGATCGATAAACCAACCACTTGAAACTCTTCAATAGGTAATATGTTACTCAAATTGTCTCCTGCTAGAATCAAGAACCCTGTCGAAACCAAGTATAGTTCTATATACATTAATATCGATACTATTAATCTTCCGTTTTTTCCAAATGCAAATTCACCTATATCTGGAAATGTTCTAATGTTCGATTTTTTTTCCATGCATCTTTCCATTAATAAACCAGTGTAAAATGCTACTGCAGCAATAGAAAATAAAAGTGCTAAACTTAACCATCCTCCTGAGGCTAATGCATATGGAACTGAGAGTATTCCAACACCTGAAAAATCATAATCATTTAAACTATCATTACCATTTTTTTTGTAATAGAAAATCAGAAAATAGTTTTTAAAAATAAAAGTTTATCTTTCTGCTATAGAATGAGACCTGCAATTGCATTGAGTCCATTAAGACATGATCGAATAAAAGATACTTCACTTCTATGGAATGTCCTAAGTCCTAACCTCCACTAAGTTAGTAAACGCACTTTTAAGGAATCTCAAAGGTTTGATGATATATAGATAGCCAAAAGTTATTCTGTAATTTATTGTTTTTATTAAAAATGGTACAATTCTACTTTCACAAAACAGCTATTTTTTCTTTCCAAATCAAGAAATATCTAAAAACCAAAATAAACCATAAAATACACTTTTTTAACCCACTTTCTTTTTTACATGAATGAGATTGGGTAATTATTTAGAAATAAAAAATTGCACAATTTATTTCTTCTGTTGGTAACCGTCTTTAGTGTGGGTATCCTTGATCTTATGGTATTTACAAAGTTTGTAGCTCTCAAGTGCCATAATATTAGACTTGGGAACCAACTCAGAAGGAATATAATAAGTGTGGGACTTATGGAGAATAGCATCGCCCTAAGGGTCCTCCACTCTCCCATTATTGAAAACATGGAGAAAGAAGTTTTTTGGCTAGAGTGCAGTTAGGGTCAATAGTTGATCTACGTTCTCCTAGAAATTAGGAATTCAATGGTTCACCATTAACTAGTGGGCAATTATCATTCACAAGGAAACCCTAGCCTATTAAATACCCCTCTCCTAGTGGGATAAAGAAAGATCATAACTTAACTAGCATACATTTAATACATAGTCTTTCACCACACATGATTTGGCCTCTCTCACTGCCTTTAACACTGTCATACAAGGCTTCTCGCCTCCACGGGAAAGTCCTAACCACCCTGGCTATCACTAACCTACTATGACCTTTGAGTATCACCTACCCTTGTAGGAATAAAATGCACACCTATACTTGTTGACCAGTACAGTGGCACCCATATCAGGGCTCTGGTAAAACAAGCTAGTGCCACGCCTCTTTAATCATCAACGTTTCCATCTTCATACGAGGATGGATTAAAAAGCTCTATGATCTAAACCCAACACCATTTTATAAGGTTTCATCGTATAGGTAGTTTCAGATCCTTCCGGGGGGAAATACACCTAACAGCTGTTGACAAAGAACATTATATACCCAGGGATTCCTTAAAGGAAAAAGCATAATCAGGAAGAAATATCACCTTTTCTAGCAGTCATGCCATTGGAATCTTTCCTCACAATAATGACCCATTTAGCATCTCTGTGTAACCTAGAAGTTGGGACATCAAGCGAGTTCTGATAAACCACGAGAGCTCTGCTGACGTCTGGTTCTTGGATTCCTTTGAGAGGCTCCAACTTTATCCTAGCAACATAAAAACCTTTTAGGGTTTGTTAGTAAGATTTTAGGTGAACAGATACAAGTGAAGGGCCATGTAACCCTAGAAATAACTCGTGGCAAGGGAATAAACACCATGGCTATCAAAGTCAACTATCTCATAGTAGACGCCCTTTCACCCTACAACATTATCTTAGGCCGTCCCTCCGTCAATGCATTTTTGGAGGTTATCTTCACCTTGTATCGTGTCCGTAAATAACCATTGCCCGACAGATGATTCAGAATGATTTGAGGAGATCAATAGAGCACTCAAGAGTGTTACTAGAACAACCTGGCGATAAGAATGGAAGAGCTCCCCCTTGTGGGTGCCCCTCTCCCTGAATCCCTTAATATAGACAATCATTGTTGGGATCCCAAGTTGGGTGCTGGTGATGAGAGACTCACGTGCATATGGGACATGAAGAAGGTTAGGATATTCCTTTCAGCCTATCAACCGATGAAGATATGTACTTTTATTACCATGGAAAAATATAATGAGTTAGTCGACCAACTCATTAGAAACATAGACTTGTTCACTTGGGTTCTCTCTAATATGCAATGAATAGATACTAGAGTGGTATGTCATCACCTCTCCGTTGACCCTTCCGCCAAGCCAGTGCTAAAAAAGAAGCAAAAGGTTTGAGAGGAGAAGAAGGACACCATTGAGGAGGAAGTAGAAAATATATCTAGTGTTAGGTTCATAATAGAAACGAAATACCCTACCTGGTTAGATAATGTGGTGTGGGTGAAGAAAAAAGTGAACAAGTGGCGCATGTGTGTGGACTTCACCGAACTAAATATTTCCTTCCGTAAGGACCCATATCCTTTGGCAAATATTGATCGCATGATTGACGGGTCCTCATGTTATATCACGTTGAGTTTCATGGATGCCTACTTAGAATACAACCGAATCTGAATGAATCCCCTATATGCCCCTAAGATAACTTTCATGTCAAATCATGGAAACTACTACTAGATGTCATTCCCTTCACCCTCAAGAATGTTGGTGCCATTTACCAATGACTCGTGGATGTTATGTGCTCCCATAAGATAGGGAAAAAACTAGAGGTATATGTGGTCGAAATTATAGAAAAACCCACTGAAGGGGAAAACCAAGATGTTGACTTAGAGGATGCCCTACAATTAGTCAAGAAGTATAACATGCGATTAATTCTTGCCAAGTGTTCTTTCAGGGTTTAAGCTGTGAATTTCTCGAGGTACACGCTGACGAAGAGGGGCATTTAATCCAATACAGACAATTGTTTGGCAATTATTGACACGAGAAGCCCCACAAACATCAAGGATGTGCAACAACTTAAAGTTCGCCTAACCGCCCTATCTCACTTCCTCTTATGTGTGGACGTAAAGGTTTTCCTTTTATTTACTTCCCTAAAGAAGAAAGAGAGATTCTAGAGGAACACATAATGTGAAAAGACTATCTTGAATGTAAAAGCATTCCTCAGGACGCCGCATATTCTCACTCACCCAAGAGAGAAATTACCACTACTCCTCTACCTCTTAGTTACATACCAAACAATGAGCTCAGTACTCATCTAATGGAGAGATAAGGTAGAAAGGCTCGTGTATTTAGTAAGAAAGATGCTTGGAGGAGTCAAAACACGGTATCAGAAGATTAAGAAGCTAACGATCGCCATATGTGTGTTAATGGAGGCAATAAATTTTCTCCTCTGTGGGACCTATCTCTTGGTGGCACTGTTGGAGGTTAAGTACAATATCCTTCCAAGTCTGGTTGTGGCGATGCAAATCGTCCATAGGGATACACATATTTATTATGGCCATGTGATCGCCGCCAGAGGTGTTCTCGTTCTACGTCCTGGTTCACCTACTCACCATATTAAATAGGGTTATAGAGGCGAGGAATTAGTCAATTGTGGATTATGATCGGGTGGCCAATGTCAGCTTTACTAGGGGCACAAGATGGAGAATTGTACTTGCTAAAAAGCACAATGAAAAAAACTCCTAGTTGTCTATAGCTGTTTTAGGGTTTATGGTATTTGATTGTGTTCAGGGATAAGTCACGTAGGATTGTGAGAAGCTCTATATATTGATTTTTTGAGAGATATTATGGCAACGAAATTATTGGCAATAATTAGCTAATTTTCGCAAATGAAATTGTATGAGATTGCACATTTTTTTTGTAATAGTCATTCTCTTAATTAGCATAATTAGCGGTAAATGTACATATGACAGTTTAGCTAATTTAGTGGGTTGAAAGCCAATATGACAACTTGTAATTGTTGGGGGAGCTTTTCACTAGTGAGGATTGAACTTTGTGGGACTTCCTCCTTTGAGTAATACACCTTTGTGAGAGATAAATCACATATTCACATAAAACCTTAAGGTGATAGGTGTATGGGTTCTCTCACAAGTGTGAGTCCACAATGCTTCCCCTCAAATAGAAACTTTTTTTTGTTCACTTACTCTTATACCGCCGTTGACACGTTTTGATGGACATTTCGATACAAGTATGTCGGTCCCTTTACTCAAACCAAAGGCTCATGATACCATTTGTTGTAGGTAATTCAGAAGGTCAACACGAGAGATCATTTAACATTTTGAGCCAAGAGCAACACACAAGTGAGAGAGACACCACATATTCACCCAAAATCTTAAGGTAATAGGTGTGTGGGTTCTCTCACTTATAAAGTGTTCAATCTTTCCTTTTCTAATCAATGTGAGACTTATTCCTCACACTTGATTTTCAACACTCCCCCTCAAGTGGGAGTCTAATACTCCCCCTTAAGTGGAAGCTTTACGTACACTTGTATCGTCACTGTTAACACTCCTTAACGGAACACCTCTTATCCACCACCTGTGAAGAATATTTTTAATACAAATAAATCGGTCCCTTCACTCGAAGCCGATCCCTTGACTTTATTATTTTCAACAGTAATTACTATATTTATATAAGAAATCAAAACGAAAAGAGACATAGTTTTAACCTAACTTTTCTTACTTAACACAATTTTCTTAGTTAACATAATATCAGAGCATATTGGTAATCCCTTTCCCCATTATGAAAATGGGTATATATATGAAAATTTATTTGGGCCTGAGCTAGAGAGCCGAAAAACAATTTGCACTAGCTCTGTGATAAAAAAAAATCAAAAGACACTTCTTCTCCCTGAAATCAGTCATTGGAAACAGATTTCCCTCGTTCACTCTCTCTAGTCAGAAGTACCACAATATGAAATTAGAATGCTTAAACCACAAAGGAAAACCGGTGGGTGTATATACTTTCGTCACTATTAGATAAAACTCATCCTCATAACACTCATCTTCGTCTATAATATATGAGTGGACATGAATATCAGAGGATAGGAAAGTAGCTAGTAGTAGAAGAGTATAACCCACACATTTTTTATCTCTATTAATTCGCAACCAGAGTTTATATGTATTTATCATCACAAATCTCCACTTCTAGGCTAATATCATACCTAATAATAATCTATTTATTACAACAACAAACATTTTATGTTATGTAAAACCGAAAAACTAAGGTTAATAAGGTTACCTGATAAAGCATTGAGGCCATTGAAACAAGTTTTAAGGAAAGATGTGGTGACAATATTGTTGTTGGAACCGCTACCAGAAATTTGTATTTCTTCATGTTCTCTTACCAAAGGAATATTCAAAGTTTCATCTTTATCACACTGCTTCCACTTATCACCTTCTCTTTCCATTGAAGTTTTGTTGTTTATTTTCTTTCCTAAGCTAAGAACAATGTTTATCTCTTTATATAATAGCTTTATTTTACCCTCCTCCCACTTTCCAAATTTGAATGTCTTTGTTGACCAGATGACACAAAATTAAGAAAGAAATAATACTTTTGTTAAGTTCCTCTTATTACTATTTTTTATTTATGAAATCATGGTTCCGTAAGGAAATTGTCGATTAAATAATTGGTGTACCAAATTGATACAAGTATTATTGATCTCAACACATGGCGACAGACTCGACATAAAGTTCTTCCACCCAAGAAAAAAAGCTAAAGCTAGTTCAAACGTGTTTTCTTATATAGATAAAGTTCAAATATTCAAATATTAAACTTGCTTTTTAAAGTTTTTTTTAAACAAAAATAATTTTTTATAGTATTATATATATTTTTATCGAAAAAATTACAAGTAATTTATATAAAAATAAATTTAAATGAAATATTAATATAACTGATATTTTATAAAATTTTATCTTAAGCATTTCATCTTTTGTTATAATATTTTTTTGGATACTAAAAGTTTTAAAAAATAACTTATATTTAAAATTAATTTGAATAACTGTTAATAAATATTATTTTTAAGTTTTTTTTAAACTTTTATGATTTGATTATACAGTTTATTTTAATTATAAATCAGTACTTAAAAGTTAGTGTTGATTTACTTTTATAATGATATGAATGTTAATTAATTGAAAAATGAATTCAAATTTAATGAATAATATTTTGATAAATATGTGATGTAAATTCGAACGGAATCATGTTATCCGATAGATTTCTTATAGTTTACTTAAAATTAAAATTTTAATTTAGTTGAAAATGAATATTATATTCCGGACAATAACAAGAGTACAAGATTTTTTATATTTATTTAGTTTTACCTTATTTCCATCGAAGATATGCAAATGACAATGCTTATTTAAAGACAAAGGCACTCAAGAGTCATAGGAAAAACAAAAAAAAACGTGGCAATATAAGAATATTCTAGAGAAGCTTGATAGTGGCGTTCCCTATCAAAGAGTATTTTTGTCTCCTGTACTTATCTTGAATTAAAACTACATACGGAACAAACATTTTTTCTGTTATTACATGTCATCATATGATAAGATTAACTGAACCTCCCTCGGGGTTATTCAAATCTACACGTCTCATTTGTTATAAAACAGAAAAATTAATATCTCACATTTTGTACTTTTATTTCTTAAGAAAATTTTGTATATTTATTGAGACAATGAATAAAGAATAAAATTCATCTCAATTTTCTTACTAAAGTTATTTTTATTAATTTTGTGAAAGATTTTATAAGAATTCTTTTTGATTTAAAATTATTTCACTTTTTTAAAGACAATATATAAATAGAAAAGGGGGACTAATGATTAAAGTGCAAGTACACCAACTTTAGAAAAAGCGAAAAGAAAAATTCAAATAAATAAACAGCAAAAAATGATCCCAACCATTAGAAGAAAAAATCAGAGCCACAGAAAACAAAATCTAGACAGGTTTAGAACTATTCAAAACTGTTAGTTGATTAATTTTTGTTAGTTGTTATTTGAGTTTTACCTTGTATTTAGGCTTAGACATGTTGCTTATATGAAGGGTCGTTATTTTGTAATTCACATATCTACAGTAACAATAATAACAGTTTCAGTTTAAGAGTTAGTTACACTAACTAACTCAGCAATCTCTCTCTCTCTCTCTCTCTCTCTCTCTCTCTCTCTCTCTCTCTCTCTCTCTCTCTCTCTCTCTCTCTCTCTCTCTCTCTCTCTCTCTCTCTCTCTCTCTCTCTCTCTCTATTCTTCTCTCTTCTTCTTCTTGTTTTTCACAATATTCATCTTTCTTGAATTCTTTGTTCCAACAAATTGGTATCAAAAGTTTGTTCGCAATTCAGAGAGAATCTAATGGCAAACGGATCAACAACCTCAACACAATTTCCAGCAAATCTTCCTGTTTTTAAAGGTGAAAACTATCAAAGATGGGTCGCACAAATGAAGGTTATTTTCAAATTTCAAAATGTTGTAAAAATCGTGAATGATGGAATGCCATAACTGGAGGAAGATGCTATGGAAGCCCAAAAAGCTACGCACAAAGATCAGAGGAAGAAAGATGGCAAGACGTTATTCTTGATTCACCAGTGTGTAGATTGTGATGTGTTTGAGAAGATAATCGAAGAAGAAACAACAAAAGGAACTTGGGAAAAGCTGAAGCCTTTGTATGGTGGAGATGAGAAACTGAAGAAGGTGAAGTTGCAAACTCTGAGAAAGCAGTATGAGATGTTGCAGATGAAAGAGGATGAATCTGTTTCAGCATATTTCTCAAGAGTGGTGATGCTAACAAACCAGATGAAGGCGTGTGGTGAAGCGTTAACGGATCTACAGAAGATAGAAAAGGTATTAAGATCTCTAATTGCAGATTTTGATTATTTTGTTGTAACAATCGAAGAGGCCAAGAATCTATCTGAGATGAAGTTGGAAGAACTGCAAGCTTCTTTGGAGGCTCATGAAATGAGGCTGCAGCAAAGAAACTCAGAAAGGGAGAAGACAGCTGAACAAGCATTACAATCAAGATTCAGCAAGAAATCTGGAAAATAGAAATCGAAGCAGCGTAAGTGTTATACCCCAAAATTTGCCCTCCCATATTCTTCAAGAAATTGTCAAGCCAAGCTAGAAAAGTTCCCCAAGGGTTGTGCAGTGCAACAGTCTCCCATACAGTCAAAGTTAGGGTTTTGAGTCTGATCAAGAAAAGGAAGTTTTCAAAGGCTCAATCAAGTCTCATATGCTTACAAACATGGTCAAGCATTCCCATATCAAGTTTCAAGGCATTCAGCTCAAGATTGCACAGTCAAAACCCTAGATTGCACTACAGTCAACTGTAGGGGCAAAATGGTCATTTGGCAGTCAAAAGTTCAAATTTTTGGTCAACCTATCATTTTGAAGCCACAAACATCATTTGATCAATGCTTGATCATGATTCTCAAAATTTGGCTCAGAAATCATCAAAGATGCAAAGGTTGCTATATTTGGACAGCTGAAAAAGTCAACTGAAATTGACCAGGGCATAACTTTCACATGGATTATCAGAAAAATTCCATCCAAAGCTCATTTTGAAGAGAAAGACATTTCCTACAACTCATTTTCATACTTCAAGTCCAAGAAATGCTCTCACAAAAAGTTATCAATTTCAACATTATAGGTCATTTTCAAAAGTCAACAAAAAGGGACTTTAAGTCAAAGACCATAACTTGAGATTGGTAAATCAAAATGACATGGGACCAAAGGCATTGGTTAAAGGACTCAAAGACCTTTCCAAAATGTCCAAGAACATGTGAAAAGCTTAAAAATTGAGCAAGTTATGCCTTGTAGAAGTTGGGAAATTTTTGTGAAATGGCAAAAGTCAACTATCCTTGAAAATCCAATTTTGACAAAAGGGCCCCATTTTTCTCACTTTGTCCATCCTTGTCATGCCACACACGTGGCCCATGGTTGATTTCAAGACCAAATGTTGACTTTTTTATTTTATTTAATTTTTGATGATTTAATTCATTTTAATTCATTGAAAATTCAAATAAAATTTAAAAATCAATGAAATGGTGTCATATGAATTTGGACAAGTTCTATGTATCATGAATCAACTCAAAAATCAGGCCAAGGTTCATTTACACACTAGGTCTAGGTTTTGGCTAGAAATTAGGAAAAAATGGTTAATGGACAAACCCTAATGCCAATTCTTTCTCAAGCATGGATTAAGGTCAAATAGCAAGCCAAGTCTATTCCATAAGGATCATTGAGTCAAACCCTAACCCTAGTGCAGCAAGAAACTCGTTCAAAGGCCATTTGACAATTTGAAAATTTGGACATAAAAGGCAAAACTGATTTCAAAGCTAGGGGGCTTCTCAAGCAAAAATTTTTGTACCAATAGCTTCCTGGGATAATTCTAAACGCATTTCAATTCATAACCTCACTCAAAGCTCCTTGAACTGGTAGTTACAAGTGGAACTGTACAGCAAATTTTTTGAATTCGTGTTCTTGATTCTAAGCCTCTTTTTGCATTTTTAATTACATATTCATACTCATGATGAAGTTTCCAAGCTGTTGATTATATTTAATTGCATTTTTGTCCATCCTACGCGAATCTGCCATGCCCACGTTCTAGGGTTTTCAAGTTTTGATTTTGGGGTTTTCACCATACTGCAAAATTGGCCCTCAAGACCATGACCACTGCATTCCTGGCATCTGGACGAAGAGAATGAGATGCTCGCGCCTAATTTATATTAGGAAACGAGCTATTCGCTATTTTTTTGTAGCTTCCCTAACCCCACGTTTCAAAACCGTTGCTTTATGTATTTGTGTTACAGGGGACATGAGGAAGAAGAAGACGTGTCAACCAGTGACTTGTCCATTCAAAGTTCGCGCGCGTTTGACCACTATGCATTGATTATTCTTTTTATTATTTGTTAACTATCATATGTTAATTGAAATATAACTGGCTCAGTGGCAAGGGATAAGCGTGTTAACCTCAAAGACCTGGGTTCAAGTCCCAGGTCTTGCAATTTCTCATATTATTTTTTCTTTCAAGGTTCAATGCAGCGCTCACATGAGGACTCACCATGCACTGCAAAGTCAGTTCATCCACGTGTCCCAGATGATCATCCAAGGGTCCAGAACAAAGGCATAGGATGGATGCAAGTCAGCAGGCGCACACTTGAATGGAAAAAGTCAACAAATGGCCAGCAAATGGGCCAGGCTTGCACCTCCAAACTCAAATCCACACCCCCTGGTTCTATCTTTTTTTTTTTCTTTCTTTTTTTTCTAAATTTCTTTATATCTTATTATTTTTAAATTTACTTGTGTTTTTATTTTCTGATTTAATTAATTTTTACAAAAAATATAAAAAACATCAAAAATACAGAAAAGGACAAAAAAAAATATAATTAATTTTGATTCTTTTTTTAAATAAATTAAATATAACTCATTT